CTTGACTTTAAAAAGGAAAGGGAACTGGTTGAGGCATTAACATAACAGAAGTAAATTTAGTTTCAGATTTCCTATGAGAGGAAGCACCATATTGTACATCAGTCAGCTGTTTCTCTTTCTTCTCTCCTCCTTCACAGCTCTCCTGCCCTCCATGGTTCAACGGCGCAGTGGCCACATCGTCGTCATCAGCAGTGTCCAGGGCAAGATAGCCATTCCTTACAGATCAGCTTGTAAGTTGTCTTTACTCAATTGATTTAACCAAACAAATACCCAAGAGATTTTTGTTCAGTCTATGCGGCTGATTGGAATTGATGCAGGATTTTGGTTTGTGCACACTTTGAACTTTAGATGCAGCCTCTAAGCACGCCACCCAGGCCTACTTCGACTGCTTACGGGCCGAGATCGAGCGCTACGGGATTCCAGTGACTGTGATCAGTCCTGGGTACATCCGAACCAGCCTGTCAGTCAATGCTGTCACAGGAGACGGCTCTAAGTATGGAGGTGAGGCAGTAAAACAAGTGTGTGTTTACACTAACAATAAGACAATGTCAGTGTTACAAATATGCACTGTACACATGAGAAGACGTTAAGATGAGATATAAATGATGATGGAAAGAGAGACATAAAAAAGCTAAAAAATAGTCGTTGTTTCTTGTTTGTACAACACTATATACAGTTTTGGATAAAACCACAGCAATGGGTCGGGACCCCGGGGATGTGGCTCAGGCTGTTCTGAAGGCTGTCCGTCAGAGGAGCAAAGACGTTATTTTGGCAGGACCTCTGCCCCATCTGGCCATCTACCTTCGTACACTGTGGCCTGCGCTCTTCTTCAAACTCATGTCCTCTCGCGCTCGCAAGGAGCAGAAACCTAAAGATGAGTGATGCAGCAGCTGGTGAGGACCCACGAGGCTCACATGGACCAAAGCATAAAACTGACTGCTTCACATGGAGGCCAAATGGACAGGAGGTGTGAATACATGCAACTCTTCAGTAACACAAATTAGACACCTGTATGTTGTAACAGCACCTACGAGTGTTTTCTATTGTTTTGACCAATGTTTGTGATTGAACAGGTTAGCAAGACATGTTGTTCAGCCATTTCAGACTTTATTTTTTAACTTTATTTTCAAAATCACCTTTAGAAACTGTACATTACTAACAAGACTCAAAGCTGTGGAGTAAAGACGTAAGCATGTGATGCTGTTTTTCAAATTGACTCTTTAACATAAATTTGGTTACCAAATAAAATGCCCAAACTGTTATCTATTTGTGCAAGAACTAAAGCTAAAGTGCAGGAGTTTTACATGTAAATGAACATACATTTAAGCCCTTGCCAGACGAGTTCACACCATGCAGATTAAGCCTATCGCCGCCAGGGAAAACTGTCTGTATATTCAAGTATACTGGAGTTGGGATGTCTTCGGTGACTCTCCAATGGAAAGTGCTGGTGCACTGGAAGTGTTTTACATCAACCAGCCAGAGCTGAAGGAGGCAGAAAGGGAAGGGAGACCATTTTGATGGAGCATAAGGTACAAGTATGAAGGAAAATCCCAAGAAGTGTCCAAGAAAAGTTTCTGAAGTAGATGCTCCAGAAGAAAAATAAACTAGCATTTGTCAGAAGTAGGAGGCATCTCCGAGTCAATCCCCATAGACTCCCATGTTAAAATGCCCAACTTTACAGCAAAAATAACCATGTTTTCAGCCTGGTACAAAAAATGGTTTTGGTCTTATTAGCTAATTTAGACATTCATGGCAACTGTACGGGAGATGCATTTTTATATAACTCACCTGTTTACATTTTATTAAGGCTTAAAGTTATGCATAATTAAGAGTGTGGCCGCTTTGAGTGACAGGGTGTTTGCGAGGCATCACCACAGTCTATGAGTCAAATCCAACCCTCACTTTCATGTAAATATTGTCATTTCTGGCTCAAAAAATCCAAGATGGAACTAGCCCAAAATGCCAAACTCAAGGCTTCAAAATGGAAGAATCAGGGTGGCTGCGTCCATTATTTTTATACAGTCTATGATCATATGCAGGCGTCCACAGTGTGTGTGTAATTTCAGTTCAATTCAAAGGGCTTTATTGGCATGAAAGTTTCAAGAACAGTGTTGCCCAAACACCAAAATGCAATTTGTCCAAGAGGGGGTAGACAAAAGTTCTATACTCCAGCTTTAATGTTTGATTTGTGATTCTATCAGGTCAGAGAAATATTGTTGTCCATGTCAGAGCACTACTGCTACTACTGTCTCAATGTCTTCTGGTTTTCCAAGTCATGATAACCACCCTTATAAACCTGAAGTATCACAGAGGAGATATAATTTGCAAGCATCACACTGAACTGCTGCCCATCTAAACAGTGTGAACAAGTATATGAATGTACCAAACTGCAGGATCTGATAAAAGTACTATGTATGCTGTTTTGGCAGAGGATCTAGCCACAGTTGCAGACAGAATACAACACATTATGGTTAAGAAAAGCAACGATCATGTCTTTCTTGGAGATGTGGTACAGCACCTGACATGTTGTTTCTGGGTCACCTGTGCCATATGGCAGACAGAACACCACTGTAAATGTCCCTTGAAACAAAGTGCTTTTAATACATGTAGGGTGAGGAAATATTGCTTATTACTTACCATTTTCAAATGTTGTATAATTTAATTTCAGCCCAGATGAGTAACATCACAACCCCCCTATATTTTGGTTTGACGAGTGAGATTTTATGTTCTTTAACAGTCCAGGATTCAGCATGGAGTCAGCAGAGAAACAATCAGCTCTCTTTGGAAAAGCTGACAAACCTGAAACTGTTAGTAACAACTTACAGGCCACATACTATCTGTGTTCAAGTTTGCATTTAAACAGGTTTTACCACAAAGCACACACAATGAATACAGCAGGTTTTTATAACTATCTTTATACATGGAATAAAAACACCTTTTACAAACTGAAAACTTTAAACAGGTTTTTCCTTTTTAGTTGTCATCTTAATATTAAGTTAAACAAACAAAAAAAACACCTTTTCTGAAATGTTAACAATAAATAGTCCAAATAACAATTTATGTTACAAAAGCGCAGTGAATACTGGAATAGACATTTGTACAAATAAATCCTTCAACAAAAAAATAACATGCCAGATTCAAACACAAACCTGCCGTTTATTCCTTATGAAGAACCATCTTCATTGTATCTAGTGTGAGAAGATGAAGCCTTTTCACAAATGACTTAACATCACAAGAGCTTTTACACTGTAGAGTCAAAGCCCTCAAGGTGCTTGAAGGAGACAAACATTTTTAATCTCATTGGTGGAATGACAACGAGAGTTCTCCTACAATATACACTCAGAGATGAAGTTATACATGTTGATGAGACAAAATGTGTCACAATACTGCATATTGAGGATGCTGGTTAATTGAAATCGATCTAAAATCAGTCTGAATTTCACATGGTACGTGTGTGTATTGTGTACATCGCAATGGTGAAACTACATGGGGAAATTAAGAGAAAGCACTTAAAAGCATTCATTAACCTTTAACTCCACCACATAGAGAGCAGGCTTATGTTAAAGGGATGGTGAACATGTTCAGCCAATCATGTCGACATTAGCCACAGTGTTTTGGCTAGCATCTGGTATTAGTACAATGTTCAATGGTAAGTTATGTTTTGAGCACAACCAATCAGAAGCTTCTACTAGTGATTTAAGAGTGACACACAATTTAAAAATAAGAGTGTCAACTATGGCTCTTTAGTGTTTGATTTCATTAGAAACTTCTGACTGCTTGCTCTTGCAAAGTTGAAGCGGAGTGTAACACTACTGGGAACTTTGAATGGTACCCATGGCATGAATAATTTCAGTCTGTCAGTGAAGATGAGTATGTGGTTGGTCACATTAGGCCTGTGGGTTAAAGACTAACTTTGGTATTTACTCATATTTACTCATTACACCCCTTAATTCACCCTCTTACATGTGAAAACATGCTGACTTGATACACACTTAAAATTACTGTTTATTTAAACAGAGTCTGGTGGGTTTGGCGATAGAGATTTCTGGGCTGTTTCTGATTAAACAAAAAGGATTTTAGTCTTTAACTAAAAGGTCTACCTCTGTAGGGACTCTCACCATAATGTTCTCAGACACTAAGAATAATAATGTAAGCCTGTTAGTGACAAAAAATTGAGAGCATAATTGCCCCGAGTGGTTACACTGCTGCCCTCTCGCTCAACACTGGACCAATTTTAAAAAAAAACTGCCCACCAAGGTACCCTTTAACAGTGCCTGTGTTTAGTCCTTCATTGAAAACAGCTCAACTTGCCTCTGTGTTTGAACTACTGAGGACTTCGAGATACAAGCAAGACTAAATATGCAATGTTATTTGTCACAGTAGTTGAGTGAAAATACTCCTAACTATTGCGACAAGGCCCTTTAAAATAGTTAATTCAAGACCATTGCATCAGTATTATCATCTTAACATATGTTTAAAGTGATGAAAACTGCATGAAGCAACTGGCGATGGACACTGAACTCCATCGTGATTTCAGCAAACACATTGAGGATCATGGCTGCAGATTATCAAAGCTGCAGAGCTACTGCCAAATGAAGATAAACTAACAAAAGCTGCCATTTTGCATGTGACAATGGACTGTAAGAAATGACAAACCTGATTCCAAACAAACATGACAGGCTATGTTCCTAAAATGCGACCAATAAAACCTGAACTGATTCAAGAGCGCGTGAAATGGAGGGCAGAATCAAAGGATTTTACTCCTACCTGCCCTGCTGTGTCTTGCTCTACTTTTGCAACTGAGGCCACAATAGCAACTGAATAGGAACAAGCATCTCACCACATTCAACCTCTTTTCTCACTGCCATTACTGTCAACATCACCCTCCAGCAGCCGTTTGCCACCAGCTGCACATTTTGGCGGATTTACACATTTTATGGGGTTAATCTGAGAGAGTAGAAGACGGACAAACACACAAAGAGCAGGAAGAGACATAAAAGATCAGTGAAAATATTTTGTTCAGATATGGCATAGTATTTTCCTGTACATGAGGTTGTGTTTTGTAAACGCATTTGTTTTTCTAAAGTGTTTGTTTTTAAAGGGCATTTCAACTTAAAAGAACAGTTCAGTGAAACCAACAAGTTCCGAACTCGCGTTGAACAATGGTCACTGTTATTATTGCACTTTTACAAACAGGGCAGGGATGGCTTTAAGGGAGGGGGGTTCGGTCTTTCTCCACAGCCGTCCTCTCATCAAAGTAGAGGGGACAGCGTTGCGACAGTCTAGACAGCGTAAACTCATGTCCTCCAGATGGCTGTAGGTCATAGAAGCCAGGTCCTCTCTTCCTCATGGCGGTGGGATGGAGGGCTCGGTCACAGCCAGCTCCTGAGCCAGGTCATTGAAGCGAGCGATGTAGTCGACGCTGCTCTCACTCATCATACAAGCAAGCTGAGAGTCCATCTGCGAGCACAACCAACCCGTTTTCAGTGTACAACAGTAATGTCAACGGTCTGTACAACAGCATTGATTAGTATCCCTTTATTTCCCGGGAAATCTGGAATTTTAAGGAATAGTTTGAGGGATTTTGTTTCCCCATTTCCAGTCTTTATGCTGAAATAAGTCGAATGTAGCTTCATATTTACGTGAGAGTAGTATCAATCTTTTCATCCAACTCTTGAGCATGCAACTGAATAAATGAGACCTGGATTTAAAGGCGTCCCCCTTTTACTCCAATTAATCAAGAATGTTCTCAGTTTTTTTGTAATTTTGCCTCAACATGGCTTTGAGTGCATAACTCTCATACAATTGGGGCATGAAGTAATTCTTTCAAACCAACATTTTTTGCATTTACATATCCCTTAATGAGAAAGGGCTCAACTTACTTCTGCCACATCAGGAAGGCCACGGGACTGAAAGGAGTCATGGGAGTTGCAGTCCAGAAGGCTAGGACCAAGCAAGGCCGTGCCACTGGAGGGGCCAGAGGGGGTTAGGGTGGTCCGCTTGCCCTTATCAGGAGAGACCATGCTGGCTGGAAGAAAAAGAGACAGACAGTAAATAGAAGAGACAGCTCACATGAAGAGTGGAAACAAAGTCGTCTTTATGGGACATTGCTGCAAGAGGAAGTTTACAGCTGTGTCTGTGTTACTGTGTATTAATAAGAGAATTAAAGTTTGAAGGCACAATAAGTTTTTTGTGAAGGCTGAAAATTTAAAGATTTTAGTTATGTGTCTCACAATTTAACAAAGCTTTCATTTTCACAACACAGTTGGAAATAGACCTTTTGTGTGTTCAGCATTCAAAATTTAAATGCTGGACAAACTAATCACATATTAAAGCTATAGTGCGTAACTTCGGTCGCCTCCCAGCGGATAATGCGTTATTATAACTAATAAGCCGGCGGCACTTCCATGTACACAGAGTAACACTCGCCAGTTGCCATACACCATACACAGAGTAACACTTGCCTTTGTGGTAGGATCCACTTCTGAACCGCGTCTCAGCCGCTTCTCCGCCAAGTTGCTTTCTCTTTCTACCTGCGCTCTACTGCTATGAGAGTCTCCGCTCTTCCTCCCCCTCCCTTCTTGTTGTGAGGAAGCATTTCCTGTGTGCCAGCGTGGGAATGTCGCCGGTCGACACGCATACTAAAAATGATATATATTGAAAAATACCGCGAGATGTTAGAGGAGCCGATCGGCTTAATCAGCATTGTGTCATCTCCTCTAGTAGTGGCTTGGGTGAAACGGACATTTATGGACCTGTAGAAGTTACGCACTATAGCTTTAAATGAACTGATTTTTAGAGTTTTCATTGACACAACAGAATCAAAGACCTGTAGTCTGAACTTTTTTTAGTCAGCTAGTCCATCTCAAACTTTAACTTTAATTTCTCGTATCAACTCTTTGGATGGGAGGCACACAGTAGAGCTAAACAGAAGATCTGTGATAGCATTGCTTGTGTGTGTGTTTTTTAAGAAAGAACAAGACTTACAGAGGAGGCATCCCAGTGTGGAGTCAGATGAGTCGCTGGGGTACCACTGGGGGTCGTGGCTGGGTGATGGGATCCATCCTCTGGACGGGCTGACCGAGGGAGACGAGGCCAACAGTTTGGAGCCGTCGTTGTTGCTCAACTTGGCTGGAGAGAGAGCTGCCTCCTCGCCTGCAGCAGAACAGGTAAACAGCTGTCATATATAAGAACACAAACATTTATACAGCACAGCAAAGCCCCTGAGCCTCCTTACCAGAGTGCAAGTTAAAATTGTCACAACAATATAAAATAGTAAATCAAATATAACAACCAACATAACCGTTAGCACATAGAATAGAAACACGCACCATAGTGGGCAGAGTTGATGGCGAGCTCGATGATGGAGTCACTGATGTGTGTCTGAGGATCTCCAGGGGCCAGAGCCTCTTCAGGGGGGCCTGGGAGCGAGATGTCCAGAAGCGAGGCTACGCTGGGTGGAGAGAGGAGGGAGTCCCCACCACCTGTCACTCCAGGAGACGGTGGAGGCTGACCATTCTGTGAAAAGAACAAGTGTAAACACTTAATCGGCGCTGTTAGATTTTCTAAAGTTTTTAGAGCCATGTCCATCTGTTTTCTATCCATCTGGGCAGGCTTGTGGACAGAATGACACTAAAATCTGCATAAAAAAACAAGACTTCACTGTTGTGAGTCCCAACTCAACATCAGTATCTTATTGTTGCTTACACTGACAACAAAATTTAACACAGTGTATTTCCAGCAGGCTACATCATCTGATTCTTGTACCTCTACCTGTGAATAGAGCCTGCACAAGCAGCACTTCATTGTGGCCTTTCCCAATGGAGTCCCACTTCATCCTCATAGTAAAGTAGTTATTCTTCATCATGCACGGCAGCCCTGAAGGTTTTACTGTGTATCCTAATCCTAAAGTTGTGACCTGCATTCATGTTGAACCACAGATAGTCAGCCCAAAGTTCATCCAGCATTGATCCGGTGTTCAGAGACCGGGCATTATAACCACTGAATTTATCAATCATCACATCTGATCTAGTGGTACGTATTCAGAAACTAATAACTTCTGAGATTTGTTCAATGGTCATGTAGCAAAAATGTGGAGGTGAGGAGGAGACATTAAACCCAAGAGGGAGGGATATGTAGACACCAAGTGAAGCAAAGCTCCTAGTATGTATGTTTGTGAGTGTGTGTGCTGCTGACCTCTGGGACATTGTGCTGGAGGAGTTGAGCGTCTGGCTCAACATCAACGATGGGTGTGTTCGCGAGCAGGGTGCTGTCATCAACAGGGGGGGAGTTCGGCTCCTGACGGGGACTGCCAGGGATGATACCTGCAGACTTAGCTGCCAGGTCAATGGCACCTGAAAGAGTATTAACAGTTTAGAAACACAAGGGATTTGTCACATCAGCACATACCTTATGCATATTAATTGTAACTGAAGGCCCAAATGCACTGAAAGTGATAACTGACGCACCTCATTTGACGTGCATCAGTTGATGCTCCCATGGCACGCACACAGCATCAGATTTAAAATGCAAACGCCACAGACTCAACAGTATTTTAGGAAAAGGTCGCTATTTAGTCAAAACTTTTGTATATGACAGATAGGGATGCACCGAAATGAAAATTTGTGGCCGAAGCTTAAGAAAATTAAACGCTTGACCGAATACCAAAGTACCGAATACCGTTGTTTAGTTTTTCATTAGTTTTTGCAGATGAACCCCCTCCAGATTAGTGTTGTCACGGTACCAAAATTGGGACCCATGGTATGATACCAATGAAAATATCATGGTTCTGAGTAGTATCACCATACCACAGCGAAAATGAGGCAAATGTGCCTTTTGTCATTTATAAAAAGATAAATCAATTCTCTATAATACATCAATGATATTTCAATGGAATAAATTACTTACTGACTTATTCATACCTCAAAAACAGCATCAATAAGTGATTAACATAGCGGGGATCAAAATAAAATAAATAAATAAAATAAAAATCAACCAGCCACCCTCCTCCCCTGACAAGTAAAGAACAGTCCCTTCATAAGTAAAGAACAGTCCCTAAAGTGCGGTGAGGTTTGTGGACCGTTACCTGCCACAAAGAGAGTAATGTGAACGGCCCGTTTCTCCTCTGACACGTCACATACCTGTGTGCCGTCACGGCTCGGCTGTCCAGGTACTTTTGGGCAGTCATGACGCCAAGAAGAGGACATTATTGGAGCCAGACTTCTCCATCACCGGTAAGCCTATGGCCGCCGTATTTGACAGGAATACATTCCTGTCTGTGTCTGTGACCCCCGTTCTCGCACAGCGTGCTGAATGATTTATTTTGCTCGAACAAAACTATTTTTAGTCACAAATGCAAATGTAGTGACGGACGGAGTAAAATATCGCCACTGCCGACATTTTACTCCGTCCGTCACTGCACGCTGTTTGATTGCGTTATCAAAACACGCCGCTATTATTTGGCCTTGCTTTTCACTTATTCCACTGAATACCAAATGTGTGTTTTTGTGCAATATTTGGCCGAATATATTTGGTTACCGAATATTCGGTGCATCCCTAATGACAGACTCTCAATTCATTTTCTATTTATATCTATTTGAGTAACGTTGCATGAATTTCCAAAACCACAGAACAAGGAGTACTTGGGGAAAAGGTCGCTATTCATATGTAGGCAGGCTCTAGTTTGTATGCTTTACAGAAACCCCCATTAAATTTCCATACATTTCTATGTGAGTAGCCAATGACGTTAAATAAGGCAGGAACACAACTGTTTGTTGCGTGCTGCTTTGGTCAGTTGGTTGGCGGCAGAACATTGGTGAAACAGCCACCTCATTTTATCCTTTATTTTTTCTTCCAGGTGGTTGACAGCCACATACAGCACAGTTAACCAAAAGGTAGCCTACTGTGGCTGCAGAAAAAAGCAGCTTTGGTCACTGGATCCTCATTTGACACTCCATAAGCAAAACAACGTTCAAGTAGGGTCTTTAAAGCAGTTTCACATGCCTCACAACGCTTTTGGTGCGTGTTCCGCCATATAAATCAGTAAGTGTGACACACTTGCGTCAGAAGCTTTCAGTGTGTTTGGGCCATGAGCATGTGAAGATGGACCAAAAAATTTCACTTCACCATTTAGCTCAGCAACCAGCAGCAATTTCAATTTTATATGAACATTTAAAGTATTAAAAATCAAAAACAAAAAATGGTTCTTCCTCATGGAGAATGCTCTTTTTGTCTTATTCTCCTGCACAAAGAGTACCGTTCAAAAACATATTGACTGTCAGAGATCATGTGGGAGTAAAGCCTGCACCTGGAACATGACTTAGGATAAAAATCTAGAGAATTCAGAGAACAGTATCTCACACAAAAATAACTTAATTTTACAACCTTTTTTGACAAAGGACAAATATTTTTAAGAATATTGTTTGTGGTGTGTAAAAAGCTCTTACCAAGGACTCTTAAGAGATGGCAGAACAAAAATATACAAACTAAAAACCAGCCAACTGCTTGGTAATGTAGAGGGTTACTTTTAATTTGAGAATAGTTAAATTGTTTAATTCAATTTTGTGGTTTATGTAGTCTTCCTGTTTTGTTGAACCCATTTAGTGAAAGAGTCACATCATCAAATATGTGATTAAAACCTAGTTAAAATAAGAGTGAAGATATAAATACGTGCTACTGTTTTTTTGTTTGTTTTTACAGGCAGACAGTAGATGACAGTAGATTTACAGGCAGACAGTAGATGACAAGAAGAGGTTAAACTAACACTCAAACTTCAACAGTGTAACATAAATTATACTCCATCTATACTCCATGTAATAAAACAAAAAACTGATTAAACAATGAAAGCAGTACATACTGGAGAGCTGGCTGGACGCTGCAGAGCTGGACGCTGCCGGGGATGTTTTGGACAGGAGGGGGCGGGAGGAAGGAGCTAGGCGAGCGTGGATTGGCCGGAAAGATCCAGTTCCTGAGGGAAGAAACAGGAAGTGAGAGAGCGAGAGATTAGCAGAGTTGTTTTTGAAAAACAGAAATGACATTTATGTTACGTACAAAGAGCACAGTAAGCAAGTATATTACCAACAGCTGCACATAAATAAGCCTATTCAAAGACCTTTTTTCAAGCACACAAGTATGCTGTAGTTTAACAGTTTTATTCGAGGTTTAAACATTTCTCTCTTCTACTGACAACAAATTGTCCTGATGTCCTGATGAAGTGTACCTGTTGCAGAGGAGTTGGAGAGGATGGAGAAGGAGCAGACATGCTGAGGAGTATCTCCTGTAGTTCGGGGTAGGAGTGTTCGCTGTGGACAAGACAGAAGCAACTGAACTGAATGCACAGTTTGTGAACACAGCACAGAGAAGCACTATAAAGACATTGACAACACAAGTGCCCCTAACCTGGTATGTTAGCATTGACCTACTTCCCAATCAAAACCCCACCACAGCCGACTATGTAGACTGTGGATTTTGTACAAGTTACAGAATCAAGTTTTTTTTGCAACAGTTCTAACACAAACTCAACATTTAAATATGTTTTATGTTTTATGCTACATGTTCAATACCTGTAGAAAGTTTTTCCTCCGTATCGTCCATACCATGCTGTCCATCGTGTTCAACAGGACAGTTTACACTTTTATATAAAGCAATAGAGATGTGCTGGTGTTCATTGTGATACTACATAGTAGATAATTAAAACACACTTATGCTCTTCTCTTACCTGAACTACAAGTGGTTTCCGAAGTTGTCTGTTTCGAGGTTTTCTCTGTCTTGAAAGGAAAAGATCTGACTGCATCTGTAAAAAAAAAAAGCATATTAATATTAGTGTATATTCCTGTGAATGACATATATACATTGCGTAAAGACTAATGCATTGCTCTGTCTTACACTGATGGAGTCAAGCTGCTGTTTGAGGGCTAGCTCAGCCTCCTTGTTGGGGGAAAACATTCTGTTGTGCCGCGTGCTGTTGGGAGGCAGTGTGGTGGGAACTGCAAACACACCGCTTTCTGTGTCGCTGCCCACCGTTGACCCCAGTAAAGAGCGGGGGAGGTTGCGTCCACCTAAAGAGGGGAGGAACAAGTGAGATATGTCATGTTAAGAATAACATGTAAAGCCATTAAGCAGCAGCCGGTGATTCTTTGTGTTAATTTCCAAACAAACACAACAGCGAGTACAGTTTGTTTGAGCAGTGGTTTTCAAACAGCACTGGAAAATACAGGACACACAGTCAGTATTTAAACAATTACCTATTAAGCAGGAAGGAGTTGCACTACATAATTACTTCTCATGTCAAACACAAACAACTACAGCAACATCAGCATAAACACAGATTTTCATTATGCAAAAACCTAGTAGCCACCGTGCTAAAGACCGCAACTACAAACTTAACAAGGAATGAGCTACACTGAAGCTGGATGGACATTTAGTTCCTGTGGTAGTATGTGAGAAAGAGCCACAGATACCTGAGACTCCAGCATTTGGCAGGTGTAACCGGGCCCCTCGGATGGAGGCCTGCTGCCGGCCACAGCTGGGGCTGCGAACACCTGGTATGGGAACCTTCCCTGGAGGTGTGAGGGCCTGGTTTTGCTCCTCTGGATGGTTCTTGAGTGGTGATGTGGCTGTAGAGCACAGCTCTGGAGCCTGGCGGAGAAGACACATTGTTGACACCATCCGCTCTACATGTACATTTCTAAAGTCCCTTTCGCACATGCACTGCAAACCTGAAATTATCTAGAAATTAGACAGAGGAGCTGTATGCGAGAACGCAAATGTCCGAATCATTTGGATCAGACGTTAAACGAATTTACCCTGCCAGCTCCCTGGTACAAAGTCTGTTCAATTGAGCCCCATGTGTAAATAGAGCAGGTCATTGTCCAGAGACCTCACAGTGAGCTAGTGGGCGTGTTGATGACATTTCTATCATGCAGCTCACACAAAAACATTTGAGGGTGAAGAAGATGGGTCACTTACTCGAAGACACCAATAAAAATGTCTTTCTGGAGAGACAAGATTCAGAAGCTTTTGTCAGTACGGGCCAAAAACCGAAATCCAATCGTCAGACAAATCCAAGTAACAGCAAGAGACTCTGTTGTTTATGACCAAATTACAAACCAGCTACATGACCGTGAAGAAATCCGCATCATGTCCTGCCTCCAGCACACTCTACCCAGGCGCCACACCTTACCTGAGCCAAATGGAGTAGGTCCAGTAGGTGTAAACGCTTCTGACCCTGACAATCCCCTGCTGTGTGCTACGTGTGAAAGGGAAATTTTGGACGATTTCCGGACCTGATTCTCTGGACATTGTCCAGTATTTGTATGACAAAACGGCATAAGTCATGCTTTCAGTAGAGTTTGAATGTGCCACAGAGAAAGTCACAACCCATTCCCAGTGATAAATTTTACAAACACATTACATTGTACATGTACTTGTATTTAACCTCTCACTGTGGAGAATTTGTTGTGGATGAATTCACCTTGCAAGGCAATTTTGTGAATCCACAGGAATATGCACCCTGCATACTGCCATCACACTGTAGAATGGGATTAAGGACTACTTGCATTCTTCATTTATACTGCTGGAATGCATGAAATTACAAGTCTTCCACCTTTTGCCATGTATCTTTAACTTCCAAATTGTAACAACTCTGCACAAATAATCACGACATTCAGAGGTTCTGTTCACAAACAGAAGATAAAATGAGGATCTGGCAGCAACACTGTAAGGAGTAACCGTTAATCCCTACCAAAGGTTTAGGATTGACCTCAGTGGAAACCAGCTTGAGCAGGCAGCGCAGAACCCGGTGTGTCCTGTTGGGCTTGAGCTGTGCCATGGCTTGTCCATTTTCTTCATTGCTGTAAGGACCTGCAATCGGCTGCCACTCGTACTCCAGCTGCAGCTTGCCAGGCTTCCCAAACATCAAGTAGAGTTCAGCCAGGGTGACGTTCTCTGCGTCACGGGCGCTCCAGCCCTCCCCTCTGATCTGCTCAACAGGCCGTTCTCTGGCTGCCGGTGCAGAGCCTTGCGATATTCCCTCCTCTGAGCCAGTCAACGGAGGTCTGGCTGGGGGAGTCTGGTTGGCCTCTGGGGAAGAAGTGCTGACGTTCTGTTCGTCTTTGCACGGCTCTGATGAGCTATCTGTACCGCTACACAGTTTCTCCACTGGTAAACCAATATTGGCCTCCACACCAGTGCAGGTCTTTCCCCCTTCAGAGGGTCCGACCCCAGTTCCCTCTTCCCTAGGAGCCAAAGTCTGCGTAGAAGAAGCAGGGGTAGAAACCCACTGAGGTCTCCTCTCCTCTGCCTTTGTAGAACAGTCTTGTGAAGGATCAGGGTTAAGGGGTTCAGGTCGTCGACTGTCACCCAATACAGTCACTGAGGGACCACCAACAGCAGCAGCAGTGGCGGCGCCTCCTCGTCCAGATTTAGTACCAGTCCGAAGCGGTGGAGCCGTGTGAATACCCAGAATCTGAGCAGCTGGCAATTCCTTGGCATTAGGCCGGTTCTTGCCACTCTCTAGCCAGTGTACGGTGCAGGAGGCCTTGGAGTGAACGACACGTGCCACACCAGGCAGTGTAGTCAAAGTGCTGCTCTCAGCTGGGTAAAGAAAGAGCTCCTCCTGCTGGGATTTGCTGGGAGAGGCTGTGCCGGACTGGCCACCCTCCAGAGCCTCCCTCTCCCTGAGGCTCTTAAGCTGAAGTGTCACTGTCAAGGACTCAGACATAACATGACAGAAATAGGCACATTTACAGTACACTAATGTTTACAGCAACATCAGTGCTCCAATTCACATACCAAAGATGATAAAAATATTGTACTGTGCAACATATTGTAGCACGTTATTAGCAGCTGGCTCTATAAAACAGATACTGTATCAAAGGGTGATAGAAAAACTAATATTAAATTGTTATCATCTTATCCCATCAAACTCATATAAAGGATTGTTTATATGAACAAGTTCACTGCTCCACTGTCACATGATGACTTTGTATCACAGACATGCTCTCTCATACTCTGTGCAACCATTTTTTTCTAAACTGAAATGCAATCAATACAGCTCCATGAAGTTGCAAAACATATGATGTTTTAAAGGATACAATCCGCTGGTCATGGTACGCCCACTTCTGTTTCAGATACTCAATGAGGCTTGAGACTTTCCTGTGAAGCTCCACCACCATCCTGGGTTGGAGAAGACACCAAAAGACATACTTGATGATCTACAAGCTGCTGTAGTAACATGGAGCAGAACAGTGCTGGGCTGCTTCTAAAATATACAGTTCTTTAGGTCACACTTAACTATTAATAAACACATATGAGACTAGAGATCAACTTTAGTCATTGATCTGGGCAGCGAAAAATGCTATTACATGTATTTAGTTAGAATTTGTGCTAACCATTTTCCAAAGCATGCATGTCTGTAAATAGATTTCTGTTTCTTGTGATTATTCTGTTGCAAACAGGCAAGCATTTATTTAAAACGGCTTGGTGATGCATCCATGCAAATGCCAACATCTAAAAACTGGCATTTAATTACCAAAAGGCATCCCAGGATCCCAAGTAATTCTTGTGTTCCCAAGTAATTCTTGTGTTGTCATATGTTATGCTTTTGAAAATGTTTGTTGGTAATTGACTTCTCTTAGACATTATTAAACAGGCATGTCTGACCTGAGACGAGGGTTGTGGGCTAGACTCTGAACACGGGCCCAGGAGTGATTACTGCGTGGTTGAAGCTCCACTGCCACCTTCAGGGGTAGACGCACCGGCTTCTGGTCCTCCTCGTCACTCACTCCTGCGGACACACACGGACACAGTGAGACTGAATCAGAAACACCAACAAACATCTCTCCGTGAGAAAAGGTCAGATGTTTTTTAAAGAGCAAGAGCAGGCGCCCAGTCAGAGGAATTTTGTGAAAGTATGAAGTCATAAAAATAAAAAACTTAGCATTGCCACAAGTATTGCCACAAGTACACAACAACACACTGAACCTAAAAAAAGACAACCTCCGTGGTACTGAAGAGGAAACTGAACAAACCAGGATGAGGCCCTTTGCCAAGATTTTCTGCAAAACACTGATACAGCAAAGGCCACAGCCACAACGATTCGTTTGCATTTTAAAATAAAAACAATCTCCATACACACAAGCTTTGTAGCACCATTTTAAAAAATAATCCCTACTAACACACCTGAAAATACATATGATATGTCCATTTACGTACACTGAGCACAAATGTGCCGATGTAAACAGGAAGCAGATTGTCTACTCTGCAGTTGGTTACATAAAATACTAGAGAAGGTGGTAAATAACACCGCAGATTTCTTTGCTTGGACCAACAACAAGATGAACTGTTAATAAAAGTAACACACGAGTACAAGGCAGTCGAGGTGGTGTAAAAAAGACTGAGAGTTGGTGCAAAGCAAATACAGTAACGTTTTAGAGCAATAACGTGAACATTATCCACTGCTGACGGAAGCCATGGCGATGGAATTATGTAATCACAAAATATCTGTAGACCTATAGGTATCATAATTTGGCTTGACATGTCGTGACTGTTTAGACCCATTCAGCAAGCAAATGTGGGTGTCTGCTTCATTGTTTTCAAAAGTCTCAGTCTCTGCGCGTCCAGATGAAAATGCAGTTTTAAACTAAAATGGGGTCAGCTGCATTTTCAAAGGTTTCTGTTTTAGGGGCTCCAAAACAGTGGAGCGGAGTGGACGCTAGGGGTAAATGTAGCAATAGTTATGTGGATTAAAATGGAGATGTAGTAGGGTTGATGTAGCCCAAAAATAAACACTGCCTACATGAGAGAGACAGCAGATGAACGGTGGGATTCTAATTTTCCATCCTTTGATCAAAGCAAATGTTTTCTCCAAGTTTGGTGAGTGGCTGTTATTGAACAGAGGAGCAGATGCCAGTCGGTCAGACCAGTCATCTCCATCATCTCCCTCCTGCTCCTCCTCCTCACTTTCCTCCCACGTAGTTACCATGGAAACACCACTAGCCCACACGCTGCCATTGTTATTGCCAAAACCCCGCCCCCACAAACCCTGTGCCTCACTATTGCCACGGTTTATATTTTCAGCACTGATGTTTGTTTACTTTGTATGTATGCGTCGGCTGTCTGTGCATCACATGCTCACCATCTGGGTCACAGAGTTTCTTCAGTGCTCGGCACATGGGTGCTTTGATACGCAAGTTCCTCCCTTTAGAGCGCACAGTGGTGGCCCTGGATAAATAAGACAGAACAGCAGTGAAATGTTGAGAAAACTTTTCTAGATTACATACACATCACAGAATACGTTAAACAATTGTCATAAACAAAAATGTTTTAAAACTCAGTAGCCATGCAGTAAGTAATTTAATGCCATATCAAACAATATTTTGAAAATGTTGCTTTAAAGGGACAGTTAACCCCAAAATCAAAAATACATTTTTTTTCTCTTACCTGTAGCGCTATCAGTCTAGATTTTTTTTGGTGTGAGCTGCGGTGTTGGAGATATCCACTGAAGTGTTGTCTGCCCTTTCTCAAATATAATGGAACCAGATGGCAGTTGGCTTGTGGTGCTTAAGACACCAAAAAACTCAAAACTCAAACTCAAGAACAATGTCTCTTTCCAGAAATCATGACGCCATTACTCAAGGTAATCCACAGACCTTGTTCTGAGCATGTAAGAACTATTTTCTTTCTTCCAAACTACACCCACCAACTATATCACCAAGCAGAAGGAAGTGTGCATCTACTCGTGGACAAGAGGCTCGTGCTCGTGACAGTGCGAGATGTAAACCACCAAAAAGAAAATAGTTCCTACATGAAACTGCTTACAACAAGGTCAACGGATTATCTTGAGTAACCGGGACATGATTTCTGGAGAGAGACATTGCTGTAAAGTTTTTAAAAATATTTTGGTACTTTAGGCACCACAAGCGGAGTGCCGTGTAGTTCCATTACATTCAAAAGAAGGCAGACATCTTTACGGCTGATATCCCCAATACTCCGCAACTCACACTAAAGAAATCTAGACTGATAAATAGCACTTCAAGTAAGAGGAAATATGTGTATTTTTTTCAATTTGGGGTGAAATGGCTCTTAAAGATCACTGTTCCTGCAGCTTATTTCTTGTAGTTGTCATATGTCGTCATGACCTAACACTGAGGGTGAAAGCTTATCTGTGTTTTGCAGATGTGACATAGTAATTAAAATCAAAATCTTGACAATCCCAGATGTGTGTATGTAAACACAAAAAGCCAATGTTTATTAACAATACCAATGAAAAAAGTGTGAGTGGGCGAGATGTTTTTTCAACTTTACTACAGACTTACCCTTGCTGGATTAGTTCGTTCAGCTTTGTCACGTTCTTATCATCCATTACTGTCAAAGACAAAACACAGAGCTGTTTATGACATTGTCCCTCAGGAGCAGCTGTCCCCCGTGATTGGGAGGGTGCAGCATTTAATCACATCCCTTGCTTCCCAAACTAACAGCAGAAAAACACCCACACACAAAACAACTTTTAAAAAAGGCATGCATTCATCCATTCATTCACATGTGCAGCCTTCACTTACATCCTCCAACTTTTTTGCGGAGCTCAGCATAGCAAATGAGGCCGTACAGCTCTTGAGAGGATTTCTTGAGCACTCTGGAGTACACTGGGAAGAAAAAGGTGGCACAAGTCATAACAGTGCTGTAACATGTGATGTATGCGTGCTACATAAAGATAACACAGCGGTCACAGTGAGGACTTTCAAGCTTATCTGGAGAGGTTTTTAAACATATGTTTTGGGACAGAGTCTCCCTACCTCACAAAGTGCTATAAAATCAGTGAATAATAAACACTAAGGCCCAATTCAACCCCAGACATCTCTAACGGACACAAAAGGATAAGTGGGATGAGATGAGACAGTATAAGCTGTATGCTAATATCATTTAAAAATTGAGAGTAAAACCCTTTGTAAACTCAGATTCTGCAATACTGATCAACAATTACACCGGCTCTGCTTTTTTTACACTGAGCCAAACAACATCTGCAAAATTTTAGATAGCATGCCGGTGTGCAGCACAACAGTGTTGGCGTCTAGTGTGTAATTTTACAGATGCCGATTCAGCTCTGTTTCTACCTTTGCTTTGCTATTTGTACATTTTATACAGAATAGCAAGGTAGAACTCTGGCACGACATTCCCGTTTTGAACCAGCTGTATAAAAGGGGCTTCAGTAAGGGTGTTTTTGGGTGACAAAAATAAAGAGCAGCTCACCATTGGCAAAGTCAATGTGTTTGGAGATCTTGTGCCAGGTCCGGTAGTAAAAGTGGCGAACCTGCTCCTTGTTCTTCACCATGTTGGCTGGCTTGCCCCTTTTCTTGTACTTCATTGCAATGTTGTTCTGGATAGCCTCAAAATCCTTCCCGTGCTGCAGACCAGAATAGTAGAGGTGATTAGAAGATGATAAAAACAAATGCAAACACTTCAAATGAATGCTATGTAACATAAGGTAGTGTCCATTTTTGACCTGCGACAATCTATTTGGGTCTACGCTTTACCTCGTAGAGCCCCTCAAAAAAGCTGTTTTTGTCCTCTGTGCTCCACGACTCCCACTGCCGACGGGCTCTCTTCTGGTTACCAGCTTGCTCCTCCTTCTCAGAAGACCCTTGGCCCTTGGAGGCCTTCGACACACCCCCCGTGGAGCCGGCCACAGGCCCTGACTGTCCCACTGTCCCCTGGGAGGAAGAGCCATTCTCTGCCCCTGTGTTACACAGAGACGAGAGCCCACAAATCCATCAGTCATGAAACACTACGTCAAAAAAACACAACTTTAATAGAGTAAAAAAAATTAAGGATGTAGCCAAATATTTGGTTGACCGCCTGGGTTGTTTTGTAAGGCATGGAAAGAAAAATACAATTGTAGTTTGTGGTTTGGGATATGTTAAAATGCATGCACACAAAGCCACCCACTGCCATTACACTGCACAACCTGCAGAGCTTCCCCTTCTGTGGTTCAGCTCTGGCAAGGAGGCAGGAAAAGCAATCAGTCCCTACGGCCAGGTCCACAGTACACAGGTCCAAAACCAACTCCTGGTGGGCTCCAATAGCTGCGTTTACCCCAGCGCAGAGCACAATGCCAAAGGCATTAACACAATCACAGAGGCAGTCCCTGTTGAAGCGCTGCACTATTTTAAGGCAAATGTAGATTTTCAGCCAAAACAGGGGTTCATTTACAAATACAAATCTCTGTGTTGGTCACAGGCACTAACCTAGATTTGTCTCTTTCAAAATAGATGAGCACAAATATAGCATCATATCAAAATAAGTGGGGCTTCTTGGTCAACTGGTTGACTCTTAGCCAATCTAAATATAAAATTGATGAAACAATCTGTCTCTCTACAACAACAACAAAAGAAATCCACTAGTCATACCTGACAGAACACATCAACTCATCGATATACTGTACACAGTCTGTTTGATCCGAGTCATTTATAAAAGCATTTTTAAAGAAAGGAAACTGACACACTGTCATTGCAGAGCAGCATAATTACACAGACTGAAACAAGGCAGTGATAATTTCTCACTAAATCTACAAGACAAAAAAAATGAGCAAAGAAGATGAGGAGGGTGCAGATTGGTGTCGCACTTCATTAACAGGCTTTCAAAGTGAGCAAAAGTCACCTCAGCTGGTTTCACACATACTGGACATTAATGTTGCTGCCCCACCCCACTGCCTCGCCTTCTGTTAGGGTTTCTTTTGTGTTTATCGTTGTTTGTGAGCAAAGGTGCTCCAATACCATTTTTCTTTCCCGATATTGAATCGGATACTTGAACTTGCGTATCAACCGATAATGACTACTGATACAATACCATTGCATTAAAAATAAATAAATGAGTAGCTGTATACTACTAACCCCGTACGGATGGGAAATGATTATTATCAGTGTTGTGTAGCATGGCTCAGTTTAAACCCTAAACTGATGAGACTTTTCAGTGTAAAATATCACCAAATTGCTGACATTTTGCTGACAGCTAATGTTGCACCATTTATCTGAAATCAGTTCTTCTTTTAGAGCAGCAAAAAATTCATTTAATTTTTGACAAAACTGCTGTTTTATCTGGGTGCAAAACCACTTTAAAGTTTATTAATAAATCATATGGTCTTGCTTTGGCGCATAGACTTGGGTACTCGCCAATAGCTGATCCAGCATTTAAAGCAGTATCAGAAGCATTTTCAATACTGGTACTGGTATCAGAACAACTCTATTTGTGATCAGTAATGAGACAAATTATTCTGTGTGTTAACAAGTCAGCAAAGTCTGAGAGCCTTCAGCTATCTCTGGCTTTAGTTTTTTGTTTTGGCACAATGTTACTGTTTAAATTTACCAATGACAGTGTCTAAGAATTGCTAAAATGACAGTGCACCATTAAGACATTTGCTTTTTGTGTTGTTATTATTTGTGTTGATTAGTACGGATAAAATCAATATAAATATTACTTTAATTGCATCCAAAAAATAAATAATAAATAATTAAAAGTGCTAGCAACTGTCCTGTTTTCATTTCCATGCAGGGACACTTAAGTCTAAAACTTGTGGTTTCCTATGCATACATTCACTTGATAAGACAGTCATGGCAGCCCCATGTTTTTAACGCCACAGTGGCAAGTTTCCAAAAACAAATTAAATTGGAAATAGTCTGATTTTCATTGATATTGAAGTTCTGGTCTATGACTCTTCTCCTTTTCACAGAAATGGTTCACAGGATGGTTTTGCAACTTGGGCAGGAGCAGCCAAAAAATCTAACCAGAGTATAACCCAGCCAGAGCCCCAGAGGGAGTATACAGCGACAAAACCTGCATCAGTTTAGCCATCACTGATAAACAAAGTGTAAACACTGTGACAACTGGGGGCAGACCCCCTGCTAATCCCACCTATGCACACTTTTCGCTGAGCTGGACACACACAGTACCTTTCGATTTTGCCCCGCCATGTCCATTGATGGTCGAGCCGATTGAATCCTTCCGGATCCGTTTACTCGGAGGTCGAACGCTTGATCGGAGAAAATGATGCTGGTCGTGACACGGAGGGGCGGACTCAGTTAAGGTCTGGGAATGCTGGGTTGAGCCAAGCCCGGCTCGGTTCGGCGGAGAGGCGGGGAGAACCGGAGCTGAACCGGGGCTGAGACCCGTGGTTGATGGATTAAGAATTTCCACTCCGTCGTCTCCCTTTGTACTGCGCTCCTCGCTCGCCTGCTCTCCGCTTTCCTCCTCGTCGCAACCTTCGGGCTTTCTGGACGGATTCCTCCTCCCATCGACACCGATCCCCTCCCTGGAGCCCAGTGTCATGCTGCCAAAACACATTCAGAGAAAATTTGTCACATTAGGAGCAAAGCGGTGTGCAAAATTAACTTCTAAAGACGACGTTCACTGTCTCTCAACATGGCCGCCGCTGTTTGTTTCAAATCCCCTCACCAGTCCCGACAAAACAACACCAAATATATGCATTTAACGTCTTGAGATAAATTACATTCAACAACCAAAATAGTTTAGTAACTGACGGCGGTGTTTTACCAAGTGTCTCTCGGCTCAAATGGCCAATATTTTAGGTTGAATTTCAACTAAATTCAAATGCGAGCGCTTTTCAGTTTAGCGCCCTGCAGAAACGACAACGAAACCCCTCGGTGCATTCGACCTCTAAATAAAGTGTTTATTTAAAACATAATTTTACCCATTTTCGTGCTCTTCGCTAGTAGGCGACGTCTTCTTTCTCTTCACCATGAGTCCAACCGGTTATATTGACAAATACTGATCAAATTGAGCATAATAAAACCGAGACCGATCTCTCCGCTTTCTGCCCTCTCCTTGCTCCTGCTTCGACTGAGCTGAACTCTCTGCGCAGTTCAACTGTTTTCTATCAGCAACAACATTACTCAATGCTTCTTTGCATCAAGAAATAAAACTATAAACCCACTGACAGATACGATACATTCACTGCATGCACTGAAGAATAATTTACTGTAGCATGTGGCAGTTGAGCCCATTTGAATTGATACGCATAGATAGTTTTATTAACCTGTGAGCAAGTGGACTTTGCTTGTCACTACGTCACCATCGCCTGCAGAAATAATGTCTGCAAAACAATTTATTTTATATACATCCTGTAATTGTAAGGCTTTGTGACAATACTCTATTTGCAGATATTACTATCACTTCATACAAATACTTCAAAATATGTCAGCGGGCTGAGGAGCGGGCTTTAAGCGCTCGGTATACAGCAAGATGTGGTGTATTACGTCTGTAAAATACTGTCATGTGTAAACATGACTGCATTTATAATATTGTGTTTACTCGATTGATATCCACTAATCTATATATTTCTAAATAATCTGAAGTGTACCAGCCCAAGCGGATGACAGCAGGAGGAAGCTCGACAAAGAAAGATTAATTGGATATGAGTAGCTTGAGCATGAAAATGACGAGGGGCGTCCCCCTTTCTACATTCCCATACAGCCTTTACATTTCTGTTGTGTGTCATTTAAACGCAAAATCCCAGATTTCATCATCCACAAACTATAACTGATCTAACAGCAGTGAGAGCCCAAAACTAGTAGAAAAGTTTGTTTTTACTTGTGCTCTTAGAAATCTTACAACTTCAAGTAACTGGAATGCTGGTAAATGAATGTCACTATAATTTAACTTGTGCTAAATGTCAAAATATCGTTTCACCCTAGCTCCAGGTTAATCTAAAATCTTACAGCATCACACTGATTTCTCAGTTACATCGCATATTGCCCCTGCAATGTTACAGTCATATCAGCCTTGTGATTATAGTAGTCTAACCACTGGTCTGGTGTTACACCGGAAGGTTGACATTACTCAAGAAGTGTAATGCCGTAATAGCCAATAATAAAGACATTATTTAAACTAACGGTTGTCGTTAACTTTGTTGGAATAAGCTGTATTACATGCTTATAAGAGTCGCCTCCATACATAACGTGGTACCTAGCATGGCTGCTGCTGTTGGCTAGCTAACGTTAACGCTATGACTGTCAAACAACCCACAACGCCGCAAAAACGGCTTGTAACACGATGGTTATTTTACGGAGAGCCTCAAACAGTTTGTTAGATAAATAACAGTGATCAAAGTTTGGGAATTACCTTGGGTGGAAGCCTGTTGATGATATTACCAGTCCAGACACAAGCTAGCATTGCTAGCTGGCGGCAGCCGTCCAGCTTGTTACCGATGGCAGTTCCTGCGGTTCATTGTACACGCGTTTAGGCACGCCCACTACAACTCGACAACAAATCCTGTGATTGGTCAGGAAGACACGAGGACGACGGTTAGAATTTGATTGACAGGCAGCTCCGCCAATTGTTAGTGGGAGAGGCCTTGCGATGGACCAATTGACATTCTCTTCCTGTCGTGCCATGTAAGTTATCGAATATATGTTTTTAAAGTTTAAAGCTAGATTGATTCTTCAATAATCTAAGATTTTCACTCAGTAATAAAGCGTTATTTCAACGAGATTGGATCACCGCAGTGGGGAATTTGGCGCTCTAAAAATAAGTTCCGCCCAGAAAGTGATTGACATTGTGACGATCAAATCACTAGGCGGAGCTCAGAGGTTGCGCTTGAATTCAACACTGGCGTACGCCGAAAATCACCCGGTCAAGCAGAATCAGAATGTGATATTTACGACTGGGACCCAAACACTGATTTACAGCAAATGTTATAACGCGCCAGCAAGAAAGCACAGAATATATGACACAAAGGGATTCAACTAAATAACATCTGCGCTTCAGTTTAGTTGATATCACAGACCCAGCTCACGTTGCCTTTGTTTGGGCCAGGCGCCTCAGTGTCAAAAACAAGCGCAATATATGGAGATTAGTTTATGGGTTTGTTCGTTTAATTTCTCTAGGAGAGACTAGCAGGGCGGAGTTTTTGTTTATTTGTTTTATAAATGACATGTATAAAAATTACATTTATTAACCGATGTATCAGTGGCTTAAGGATTGCTGTTACTAAATAATAGTTTTGTCTCAAAATATTTCTAGACATGGATTACTCAGTGCATTTTATCAGGAGGGATACCATGTGACATGAAACGAGCGCCTCTCATCACTCAGCAGATTGGCAGTGGACCAGTTATATTCCTCTGTGTCACAGTTGGGTGGACTGAAATTCTTCACTACGGAGTTTGGTTGGGCACACGCAGGCAGGGGGAACTCGCTGGTCGTCCAGTTGGCAAACTGACGAAGTTGTCTTCGGAAACTTGAAGGCTCACAACAAAACCACTATGACTTCGACGAACATGTTTCAAGGGTTGGATAGTGCTTCAAAACCGAGCTCAAGGTGAAGAATGTAGTCGTGTACTTTGGTTATCTGTGTAAGAAATGGCCGACAATGTCTTATTACGAGTGTAGGCAGTCGCTCGGTCAGCTAGTTTCTCAATGTAGGTTAACGTTATGTGACAGGAGCTCTTTGTGGGTTTTTGCACCATCACTTTTATGCTAACGCCTTAACATAACGCTAGCAATCAGCGGTGTTATAAGTTAGTTAAGATAAACATCTGTGTGGTAGCTCGACTTGAGATAGTTTGGTTTGAGTTGTCTTGCGTTAGCAAACTTAAGAGTCAAGAATTAACGTTAGCTTTCAAGCTAACAGATCAGGCGTTGTCTGCTGCGCCTGCGGAAGTGTGAAAGCCACTTCTGACTGCTCTTCTTTGTACTCGCCAACAACGGCTTTGTGGCCACATTGTTCGAAGGAGACTTAGTTTCCTCCTACTGATTTGAAAGCGTCAGTTCTTGTATCAGCTCGGCCAAATAGTCCAGTTTACGTATCTTGAGGCTTTTAATAACGTGGGAAACATGGCCTCAATTCTAACAAGCCGGAGATATCAGACGTATGGCGCCATGCCCTGTGTGTAATCAAATAACCTGTTATGTAGTTGCGCACAAGCTGTCGGCTGTACTTAAACATTTATAGACAGGTTTCCTTCTGTTTTCTACGGGTCCTCTTTGTGTGCCCGATTGCTAAGATGACATCATGTTTTAAACAGTAGTCAGTAAACATGAACCTCCATGACACAGAGGCACTCTGAAACCATTAGTGTCCACTCTCATTTGGCGAGGATAAACATCCTCTGACAAGTGTGACTCCTTTAAGAAATTGGCACCCTTATATACAGTATGATATGATTTAGTGAGATGAATTACAAGTAGATCAGTAAAAGTATCCTCTATCAATATTTGAAGTCTGGCTTTGCCAGGTCACACTTGCGCAGAGTAATTGATTTTAATGAGACATGGATGAATACATTGAATAGTATCCTATAAAAGTAGTACTGTAATCTTTCATCTCCTGCAGGGTGTTGCAGCCTCCTGGAGGTGGCTCCAGTAACCTGTTTGGTGGCTATGAAGACGACTCTGCAGCATCAAGAAGACCTAATAAGATGGCCTCTACAGTCTTCGCTCCACCAGAGGAGGTCCGGAATGTACCCAGACGCTCCAATCCTCCAGGTCAGATGAGCATGTCAGAGTGAATGGATGTGCTGACTGAGGCAGGCCAGTCACAACATCTATCAGTGTCCAGGACTGTGTGAAAACTGCTACTATGTTGTGATAATTCCAGTGCAGACACTTTCACTGTTGTCAGTGTCTGAATGTGATCCATCTCCAGATTTTGTGGAGTATCTATAGTGAAGTATGTTTTCAGTCCAGTCTGCTGTTGAGAAATGGTCTGAGTGCCACACAGGGACTGCTGAGTCACCCTGCCTTATCTGCCTATTTTACAGGGGCATTAGCATCCCTGAAGTGGTTAGTGCATTGCTGCCATTGTAGTGTGTGTGTGCAGTATATGGCCCTATAATTTTCTAATGCACATGATAAGACGCCATAGGGTGATTGGTCTTTTTAAAAGCACAATTCAGGTATCAAACTGTTTCTTAACCCCATAGAAGTAACCGTAAAAAACATTCTTCCACTGTGTCATAAATCTAAAGGAACACCAATTGGGCAGAGCAGTTCAAAAGCTAATCAAAATGAAATGTGACAGAGTGGAGTGTGTTATTATGACGCTGTCACTGCTGCAAAACTTAACACACATCTAATACTTTATGTAGGTGGCAAGAGTAGCGGAATATTCGGGGAACCTGAACCTCCAGCTCAGCAACAACAAAAACCAAAACCTCCCGGCGGACCAACCAGCAACATATTTGGTGCTTCCGAGAGTGCACCTGCCCAAAACCCAAGTCGAAGCCATCCAAATAAGCCAAAGGTAGGCCATGCACCTGAATTTTAGACTCACTATGTCTATACTTTGACTTAATGTTGTTGTTATTTTTTCTGTTTTTTGTTTGTTTGTTTTTTAAATTCCTTTTACCCCAACTAGCTCACCAGCTAGTCAGCTTTTACAGGAGTAGTTCCCCTCCAAATGAAAAAGTAATTATTTATCTACTCAACACTGTGCAGTTAGGATCCAAAGGTCTGCTAGCTGCCTCATTTATCCAATACTTGATCCTCATGTTGTCCTGTGTCACATACTCCAGTGTATCAGTCTGTCTTCTCCACGGTCAATAATGTTTGTGCAATTGGACTATTGTTAGCTTAGGCTGCTGAGGCTACTGCAACAATCTCAGCATTGACACAAATAAATTTCAAGCAGAAACTTCTAAGAAATCACTTCATTTATCAGTTTTTTGTAAACTTCTGTTGAGGTAGGTGAAAGTGTTTGTATTGCATACAGCTGTTTGCTTGTAGCCCTGGAAAGGCATGTAAACACACAGAGGTGTTTATCATGCCTGGAAAAACAGAAAGTATTTTTTTTACAAGTTGCTGTGCTTGGATTCATCTTGAAAGGCCTTATTTGCTGGCAGACTGGGAAGACTTTTCAATATCAACAATATTAATGATGATTTACTTATCATAGAAGTTCAAAATGATGATGGGGTGTAAGCCTAGACTTTTTTTAAAGCCTTAAAATATGTTGCTCTCCTATACCATATTATCCTTTACTTCTTGCATGCAAAGAATGTGCTACGGATGCCACTAAATAATTCATTTATATGGTAATCTGTATCATAGATTTTCAGAGTTGCAAACTTGGTAAGACCACTCACAGCGTGTGTAATGGTCAATTGTTAGCTATGACTCGTTTGGTCCTTTACACAGTGAAGGACAACTTCCATGACAATAGTCATGGAAGTTGCACTGTTGTACTAAATTTGAGCAGCCGGTTTTGTTTTCTATTTAAATGAAAAAGAGATCCTGTTTTAAGTCCTTTCAGTGATTACATAGTGAAAAATCTCATTTATCTTTAATTTTTTGCAGGACAATCTAAGTGTGGGACCTGAACCTGAAACACCAGGTGAGTTTGTTACATAAAAGAAAATGTCCTTTTTGGAAAATTTGTTTTATATTGAGTCATCTTACTGCCTGTAGCAATAAAAGTACTTTTGTGAAAGGGTCTTGTTCTTTAGACCACAGAGATTAGGATATAGCACAGTCTTTGTTTTTGGTTAATGAAATGTAGATTTTAAGTTTTGCCAGGGCTGGAAATTAGCACCAGTCACTAGCCAAATGCTGGTCAAATACACAAGTGGCAGCTAGATTTGCTTCACTTACCAGCCAAAACAAACAATGGTAATCTATTGATTGACTGCTAGAATTTGGAAGCCACCAGCCGTTGTGGCAGATGGACAAAAAAGTTGATAACCAACCATGAGTTTTGCATCCATCAGTTATGTGAGAGATGAATAAAGAATATTCACTGTTGCTTCGAAGCAACGTAACGGAAGAAGTTTCTTTACAGTTTGAGAATGGCACCACTGTTGTAAATGCAAATTGTGCCTGCAGGTCGCAGACTGTTTACACTGTGCTGACGTAAACTGTAGTGATCTGTCTTACTGTTAATGGGAGAACAACGATAGTACAACAGGGGAGGGCTTATCCCTGCCAGTGTCCCTTTTGAAAGATTGCATTCTGGCAAATATGATGCCAGAAGCAAGAACCATGTCGACTGACGGGGTGCGGTAATATCACAGGATTTTACACAGATACGACTCCACACAGTTTTATTTATTGTGACATTGGAGATGATCACTAACCTAACAAAAAGAATGACAGTTTTAGGTTTGCTGAAATACTGCTTATGGTTTCAGCCCATATACATAGTTTGATGAGCTTTCGCATGTAGCCGTTGGCATCTGTAAAAATATTAGTATAATTTTTGTATGACCAATTGTGTTTGAGGTTTGGATTTTCACAACAATGTTTTCATTAACGTACACTTTGGTCTCTTCGCCTCACCAAAGTAACATAGTGTAAGAACAGAGGTTGAGTGCACAGAGTGGGAATGACAAATGCCATTCTGTCTATTACAAGTCTGTGTATAATGTAAGTCAGGGTGTGAAACATACAGCCCATAGGCAGGAACCGGCCTGCCAAAGGATCCAATCCAGCCCACTGGATGACTTTGCACACCTAATAATGCACTTGTGAAGGCCAAGAGCAGTCAGGTTTCAGAAGTTTAACCCTGAGTAGCCCTACTTAATGTAAAATGCTGCTTCAGAGATTTTTCCACCCTGACCAGAGTATGGTTCCCAGAAAAAACTATGAACACATATTGTGGTCATATTTAAAAATATTCAACATTGAGAGAATATATCAGACTTCTATCTTAAAACTATTGGTGGAATCTTTTTTGCTAAGATGTGCCAAAACGTTTGATTTGTAAATGGTTTGTAAGGCAGAGGTTAACATACTGACTTCCTCAATAGCTTCCACTTTAGTTTGGTGTTTCGATGCCAGTGTTACTTATATATGCATATTGTTTGAATTGCACTTAATGATCTAAAGACATCTCAGGTTGTTCATCATGTTTTATGAATGGATGAATGTTTTCAGAATGCACACAGGAAAAAAAAACTGTCTGTTTTTTTCACTAAAGTCTCAACTGTGACTCTTAAAAGATGTGAATTCTATAATTTGCTCTAGGTGGAAATGCTGTTTGTACTCTTAGGATATTATTTTGTTTAAAGCCTCTTTCTTTCCCTCTCCAAGCACCGGCACCAGCACCGGCACCCGAGGCAAAGGTGATTCAGCCTGAGGTGAAGGAGGAAGCTGCAACCCCAGCTCCCATGCCAGCCAAGGAAGAGCCTGCAGCTGTCCCAGCCACTCCAGAGCCTGAGCCACCTTCTTCCACTTCTTCTTCCTCACCTCCTACTGAGACTGGTGAGCTGAAGAACCATGAGCCTCATCTGGGACCGAAGCCTCGCTCTCACAACAGGGTCCTCAACCCCCCTGGTGGAGTGTCTAGTGTGGTATTCTACTGATCAGCTGAACACACCTCTCCTCCTTGTTTGTGTCCATACACTCCTTGTCTGCTCTCCTCTTAATCTTCTCTCATTCCAACTCCCCTCTCCCCACGGTTACTTCACCTGTACATTTAAACACAGAACAGGAATTTTTGTTCTTCTCACCAGATTCCTATTCATATATCTTTGCCTCAACTTCTTGCACTTTCAGCCCTGTTTCTGGCTTCCAGCCCTTCGTCCACTTCGTCTTATTCTTTGATGAAACCTGCAATAATTCAATCTCCAACCAATCAGTCGACAGGCTCGCTATTACCTAATCACTTAAACTGTGACACTGTTTTATCTCCATGTTGCGGTTACTCGTTTCACGGTTTCTGTGTTTGTAAATGTAGTTTGGTGTAAAGCACAGTTTGTCATTTTGAAAACATTTTTGCATCTCAAGAATGGTTAAGACATTGGAGTGCTTGTTCAGCTTTAAACAGTCCTCGATTTTATTTTTTCAGCGTAAAGAAAATCCTGGCGTAAAAATCCACTGCAGACATTTGGTCACATTTCAAGGTGTTGTTTTAAGCCATAATGTGTAGGCGTTCAATCAGCAGGGGGGGAATAGATCCTCTCACCAATGTAAAATGTTTCAGGGAGTTCCACTAGTGCCACCTTTATGTGTTGCTGGATCCTTAGGATGACTACATAAAACCTTATGTTTGGTAGTTTTACAAAATAATATATGTAATGACTGTACAATCGAAGCCTTATATCAGCTTATCTTTTTTCTTTCTTGCCTTCTCATTATTCGGCCCTTCATTTCATCATGTATCTAACATTAATGATCTTCTGTCAGAGCACAAACTCTGTGCCAGCATAGATGCCAAAAATTGACCTTGACACAACGGTGAATGCAATTGTTTACTCCCAAATGTTTCTGCTTCCTTAAAGAAAATTCCATTTTGATTGTATGTGGATGTATTGTGCAGGTACTTTTCTGCTTTGTCCTCATTGCTTGCTTTATCTGAGAACATGGCCTTTTGTTTTTTTTGCTTGGGGTAGGCCTCTGTTTATGTTTTAAATTAAAACGGCTGAAGACAAGTGAACTCTGGACAAGCGTGCGGCCTACCTGAGTCCAGGTGGGCTCATTGATGATCACTTTTTCACTCACTTCTTGATGCACATTTATGGTATTCTGGTGCCAGCCTGTCCCCTGTGTGTTGATGTGCCTGGCAGGCAATGAGCACAGCAGAAGAAGAAAATCCTGTGTATTGCAATAAAACTGTTGTTTTGCATTTAAATTTTGCTTATTTTGTTCATTCTCCAAAAAGACAGAAATAGACCTCTCAGAATATTAACTTTTAATATTACTCATTAAAAATGAGTATAATAAGTGAAATACTTAGTTTGACTTTACTTTTCAAGAATGGAAATACCATGCATATTTTGTGAAATGTTTCAGTGTAAATGTGACCTAAAAACTAAGACTTGTCTGCTCCACATTTATAGCTCGTTCTTGAATCACTGACACTCATGCTTTTGTCCAGATTTGCCCTTTGGCAGCACTCTGTGCAAGCTGCTTGTGCTAAGACAAAAGGGCCCCTTTTTGGCCAGGAGGAAAATGTAGTTTTAGCTTTGCAGCTACACAATGAAATGTGCGGTACTGCTTTTTTATTTTCTCTCTAAAGCAACACTCTAAAAGAGCAGTCAAAATAATACTTGTACATGTGAGTGTACACTGACACTGAGTGGTATAATACTAAACTAGGTCTCCTATATTCTAGATTTAAGCATTGCTTAACATTTTATGGCTTAAAAGAAAAGCACTTCAGGTTAAGGAACAATCAGTTCAGATTGCTTTAGTGTGTGTTGTGGAGTGTTGGAGATTTCGGACGTAGAGATGTCTGTCGTCTCTCCTTGACGGCACTTAAAAAAAATACATTTGGAAAAACTCAACAGCGTTGTCTTTTTCCGTAAATCATGACCCGGTTACTACAGATAATCCACAAGCTTTGTTGTTAGCATTCTTGTGTTGGAAGCAATTTCTTTATACTGAACCACACTAGGGTTGCAGCGATATACCGGTTTTAAGGTATACCGTGATATAAAAGTTGATGGTTATCATACCGTGTACATTTGCTTATCTACAAAAAGCATCTGGATGGAGAATCTCTCCTTTAGTTTGGCTATTTTCAGAGGGGAGAAATTCTGAAGTACTGTGATACCGTTAAACTGATATTTTCTTAGATGTTTATCATACAGTGAAAACCTCATACTGTTGCAATCCTGAACTACACCTGTGAACCATAATACAGTGCAGAAGGAAGCATGCATCTGCTGCTAACTGACGTAACACCACTGGGCTAGCTAAACAATCTAGACTGATTAACAGCACTACAGATAAGAGGCACAATATGAATTATTTATTTGGGGGGCTGAACTGTCCCTTTAAACATGCATTTCCTAAAAAGCGACAGCCAGAAACAGCAGTCAGGAAAAAAATGGGGGGGTCTGTTACTTGTACATGATGTCAGCCTTGAAATCAAAATGTCACGCCTGGCGTCCTTTGTGCTTACATTTGGGTCACAATGGCCTGGCATTGGGGAATAATGAGTTCTGGCTGATTGCTTGGACCATTATGACCAGCATCTTGAGTAACCAAAGCCTCTTTCACAAGCAGCCTGTCCGGAAGAGAGTTTAACTAATGTTTCATGAGTACCAATGAATTAGGTATGAGGAAAACTACAGGCAATTGTGCAACCTCTTCAACCATTACTGTGCACTTGTGTGTGATATATGAGAGCTGGATGGATCAACAACATGTTTCAATTGACTTAATGACAGCACAGAAGGGCATATGGTGCATGCCGGGCAATAACCACATGGGACAAGTGATCCATACATACGACACTCATTCAGGTGTTTTCAGTTAATTAGGCACACCTCATTTCAGGTTGAAGACAGTGGAGCTGCTGTGAATTTATGAAACCTATTGTACCAAAAGCTCAAGATGTTAACATTACTTTTGCACCACCTTGATGTCGAGCATCCTGTGACTCAATGGCAGGAGGAAAATGGGGGCTGAGAAATCCCAAGTTACTCGAGTAAGTCAAACTTATGTTCAGATTGATATGTATGAAGCTACTCATGCTGATTTCAGTTTAAACTATCTGCCCTGTGCTGTGTCGTTTTATGTTCATTGTAACTTATTACCTAAGTAATATTGAATTGCAAGATGTTTTAAAGAAGATGTTTAGTTGCCAAGTATCAGTAGCAAAGCGATACCAAGTAAATTCTGCTAACATGTTAACAAAAATGAAAGCTTATTTATGTTTCACAACTCAAACTGGGTTGATCCCAGTTCATGTGAGTTAACATCTGGTTTTCCCACTTTTGATGCAGTACCAAGCAGCAGGCCTAAACTTCAAACTGCTTCTTGGTTTCAGAGGACCACCCACCTACTGCGGTGAGCCTGTGAGGAAAACTGAACTGTGTGAAATGTAAATATTATCAGTATTTCACTGCCACCTACTGAGTGAAATAAGAACAACGGAACCCTCTGTGTGACTGTTGCATATTGAACATTAATTCAGCCGTGTTCCTTTTCAGAGTTCGATTTAAAGAGAACCGTATGAGTATTATTATCAAGTATTTACTATTTTTAGTTTAGGTTGTGCCGTTGGAAATACTTGATGAATATGGAGGTAGTTAAGAATCATTTGGCTTTGGAGCTGTGGGCCCTTAACCTACCGTTTTTATGCTTCATTGACCAGTTTTTGTCTCCATTGTTAATCCTCTCGGGAGCAAACAATAGCCCAAGCTACACTTGTCTGACTGAAAGAAAGTTCAAGTGAAACCTGTTCGTTCTTAGCTCCTTCCCAATTTTTTATTGTCTGGAAGTGATTTACATATGTATGCTGTCCTATTTGTGGGGTCTTGAGGCTGTAACCACCCTACCCTATTATTTTAAGGCATTAGTGTTGCTGAGCATAAATTATACCTGTTGATCATAGAGCAACTGACAACATCTGCAAATCATTTCAGAGAGGAATCATTTTAGTGGCAGATCCTTATCAGGCCTATGTGATAAGCTTTCTTGTGGTTAAATTTGCATGTTTAAATGTGTGTGTGTGTGTGTGTGT